TTCTCAGGTTTCCTTCTCTGGATATTAAGTTGTAAGGTTACTTATCATGCGTTTTTTCCATCATCTTCAGTGCTAATCTTCCAACCATTAGCAAACTGTTTATGGGGGAAAAAAACAAAACAACGACAAAAAAACACATTGTAAGTGTAAGTGTAAAAATAAACAGTAATAAAAAACTGTCAATTCGCTATCAAATACTTTGCACATGATGCATAGAAAACAAACAAAAAAAAGCATATAAAGTATAGTTTATTTGGTCACAGTTGTACCTGACACCAGCAATTAATCCTGCGGGCATGAATTTTCCAGAGTTGTAAAATCTTGCTCCCATGACAGCAGTCAATGTTCCAGATGTAACTTAAATGAGAAATTAAAGAGCATAGTTAGCAGAGATGCATGTGGGAGAGATGCTTGTTCAGAATTGGAGGAACAGAAACAAGCAGTAACATAAATTAAAGAGTGAAACAAGATTATTTTATGTAGTGGACAAAAAGAGATAATAAGTTCTGCAAACTTTTGTATGCCTTAGTATAGAAAGAATAAATATTCAAAATCGAGGTCTAGCAGACAATACACTCTGTTACTCCTGTCCTCCCTATATTTCTTTGGTAAAACATGCTTCTTTGGAAAAATGTGCTTCTTTGGAGACTGGGAATAACTTACAGTGCATTACTCTGGAACCAATTCCTTCCTAGTGCCCTGGTAAAAATGGGTGAACCTGTGCATGTTACTCCCTCACTTTTTCTAAGAAGGAGATAGCATTTTCTTGCCTCACTTCTAATGTTCCAAGGATTAACTGCGTGGCAGAGGGCTTTGAAAAGCTCTCGTGCAGTGTAAGTGCTAAGCATGGCCAGGCCAGCTCCAGCCCTGCGCTGCTTCTCACGATGCTGGATCAAGGCGCGAGCGTCGTCCATCCTGGCTGCTGGACGCGGAGGCAGGAGCCAGGCAGCACCGCGAGCCAGCGGAGCAGGAAGGGCAACCCCTGGGAGCCCAAAGAAAGACTGATTGCTACAAAAACTATACAGAAAACATAGTGAGGAAATCCTTGGCATGCAGTTGCTATCCGGTGGTAGCAGCAACACGCAAAAGAGCGGCTGGAACAGGGATCCCCTGTTACTGCTTCCTACGTGCAGGAAGACTGCAACGCTGCTGCAGGACCCAGGCCATCTTCAGTCCTAGCGAAGGAAAGGCCTCAAGAACAGAGAGGATACAACTAAGGCACAAATAGTGGCCAAGGATTACACAAACAAAATGCACACTTGCAGTCCAACAAGTGGCATACACCAGAAGCTGCAGGAATTATCTACATGCATATTCTCAGCCTACTTCAATTAAAAGTTACCCTAACTGATTAGTGAATGAGACTTAAGTTATTTTGCACCTAGCGTGGGCTTTTTGCACACACAGGTTAAAGCAATGGATGATCCCCTGCTAGACTGTCTTAACTTTATTGTACCCCCGAGCCCTGTATGATAAATGGTATAAATGCATTTAAGAGATTGACAGCATAGTGCATATCATTTTTTAAAAAACACAAAAGGCGTATTTCATTTTTTGGTAAATGAAGTGAAATAGTGGTGTTAGTTTCTTTTACTAACACTATGAGTGTCAGTTTATCGCACCACACATTTTCCTTCATAATCAGTATGTTTTTCAGTGTTCAGAAAACCAACCATCCTGATGAATAACAGATATTCTCCTCTCCAGCTGCTCAGAGGAACAACAAGTTCTAACTATCATCCAAAGCATTTTATGCTTCTGGAAAAAAGGGATGCAAAGAAAGAAGGAATATACTGAGGAACTGCTGATCAAGACACACCAACAAGTGCTTTTTAAACGTGCATTTTTAACTCATCTTTAAAATACCAAAAATGGTGTTAACTGTTCCTGTTTCAGGTGAAGCAGTGGAGTTTGACCACTAATGAAGATTTTCACTAAACACTAGTTTAAAGATCAAATTTAAACTAAATGTGTAACACCATCAGATTAACTCTTGTGCAGTGGCTACTGTACTTCTATGTACTCACTTCAAGTATTCAGTTATTTTACAGCAAATATAATCCCTCACAAATAAAATTCCAAGAGACTTACTCAGAGAAATCCACACATTATTTGGATTCTGTGAGAGCTGATAGGCACCCAGTCCTGCAAAACTTCCAAAGAGAAGGCCAGCAGCTAGAGATGGGACACTACCTGCATAGATCAAAGAAACTCTATTTATTAGAACCTCAGAAAGAAGTTTGTTCATTTGTTTACTTGTTTTGTAGAATATCAGCAATAACAAAAAAAAAAGGACATTTGCTGTTATAAAGCAGATTAGGGAGATTTTAAGTTATTAAGAACATTCTGATCTGAACCAAGGAGCACGTTTAAATACCCTTTCACAAGAAAGAAACAGCATTCAGGTTTGATTCCTTAAGAGCAAAGCCATCAATTATACTTATAATGAAAAGACTAGCAAGAAAAAACAAAAGAATCAGTGTTATCTTTGTGTGAAATTAAGCAGGCTGTTTCAACAGTGTGATTTCAGAATTAAAATGGAGGAATTAAAGAGCAAAGGGGTAAGATCAGAGAAAGGATGTGTAAGCTGAATGGGCAGGAGGGTATTCAGATGAATAAGAAGCTGCCAAAGCGGCATGGGGAGTCGAATAAAACATTCCCTCTTCTCTTGAGTATGCCTGAGATTTGATCCAAAGATTTGATAAAATCCTTAGTATAAACAATAATCCTGAACTACCAGAAAATAGAGGATATCATATTCAAAATGGTGATTCATGGATGACATCAATCAATGAAATGCCATGACCACCAAAAGTGACAAATATCCTCAATTAGGCTAACAGAGAACTCGGATCTTATTGCTCCTGTGGGTGGTACTTTGTATATTCCATTGCTTTAAGTCATCTTTAAGAGGAATGGAGATCGCAAAGCCAAGCGGATAAATATTTCCTCTCAGTGTTACTGGAAGGAAGAGTGCATGCTACTGTAAGAAAACAATCATTCCTCAGTCATCAACGAGGCAGCTGCAGTGTTGTTTCAGATCCTGCTTTTGGCATAAAAAACAAGAATTAAAGATCATATGACAGCACCAGCTATACTCGTACATGTGCGAGGAAGAGATATGCACTCTAGTAAGTGGCTAGAGCAGATCCAGTGCAGTTCAGCAACCAACACGTGGTAACTACAATTCTTTATACAAGCCTGGAACTTCACAAATGGCTCTCATACCTGTGCATTTTACCCCAAGGCACATAAACTCACTAGGACATCATCTGGCTTAGGAGCTCCTAAAACACTGGAGATCCAGAGACCATATTAAAGGGGAGAGGAAAAAATAATAATAATAATAAAAAATATTAAATCATTCTGTGCTTGCCCTATTCTCATATTCTTCCTAAGACATCTAGTGCTGGCCAGTGCCTAAGACCTAGTTAGAAAAGAATAAATTATCTTAGCTTTATGGATGAAGGTTTCATTTACTTTTACTTCCTCCAAGACATTTTCATGGCAAATTATTAAGCAATTTGGATTATGAAAACATAAAGCATGTCTGTTTTACTTCATTAACATACCACCAACATAGAAAGAGGTATCATCAACTGCACAAAATCATTAGAGGTCAAATCTTTTCCTACTGATGATTACATTTAACAACTTCTTTGAATGCCCCAATTACACCTCTTTTTTGTTTTTGTTGTTAATAAGGATAGGAAAATGGTCACTATTCAACAATTAGATTGTGCTTACAGATATATGTTTATGAAAAGCAGAAAGGGAAGAATAAAGCAGTTATATTTCTGGAGTGTGCTCTCTTCTATCATTCCTCTCTGTTCTTTTAGAAATGCTTATTCAGTGTTTGGCATCAAAACCAGACAGTTATAGTAGGACATGACAGTTTTGTTTCCAATTTCCCTATAAGCCTCTACAAACTTCTGTTCCCCTTTCAGAAATCTTGTGAGTCAGATTCTCTTCTTGCCTCTACATGACCTGTCCCATCTGGGAAAAGTGGATAATATTGTTAGTGACAGTATCAATAGTATTGCCTATTGCTTCATAAAGAGCTCAGAAAACTACGCTGAAAAATATTTAAGCTCTTCAAGTCATCTCTCTTGCCCTAAACTGCACCCACAGCCCAAAGCACAAAGCAAGCCAGCAGAAAGCAGCTGGGAGCAGCAGCATCTATGCAGTTGGATATACTGGTAAACTTCCTATTGACTTCGGCAAGGCAGGACAGGCCCTTGTACGACCAACGCCAAGACAGCCCGGCGATTTCCGAAACCGTAAGGGCCAGCATTACAGCAGCGATAGATCCCCCGTTCTGCTGGAGCAAGGGAAACTGAGAAGCAGGTCCAGAAGGGGAAGGAGGAGCTTGGGACGAGTGTTCAGGAGCAAAAAGAAGCTGAAAGAGCGCCGTTCAGCTGTGCTGGCAGAAAGGCTCCCCCTGAAAACTCTCTGCATCCCGCAGAGCACTGGCAGTGCCAGGCACTCAAAAGAGAGTAAATCTGTAAGCCGGGGGAAAAAACCTTGTGCTTTGTGTCACTTGAAAACACAAAACATTTCTAAAATGCTTGTTTTTAAAATAATGGGTAAGAAATGGGGGGGGCGGAAAAAAGCCTTTCTGAAGCAAACCTCTGCTGGTTTTCCGCAGGAGCCCGGCAGGGAGGTGAGAGCCACCAGGCAGCAAACCTTGGGCTTATCAACCCCGAGCAGCAGCTCAAGCAGGAGGGCCCACACCCCACCAGGCAGCTATCGCCGCAGCCCAGCCGCTGCGCAGCCGCCCGTCGGAGGCTTGCTTAAGGAGCCGCCAGCTCGGGCACGTCCATTTTACCCTGGGGGAAGGGAAGGGGGCAGGAAGGAGAAGGTAGGAGAAAGTGGGGGGACACCAGAGGAGCACCTTGCAGAGCGTACCTGCTTTCGCATAGCCGATGATGCCGCCCGACGCCACCAGCGCGGCGTAGCCAAAGCCGAGCCAGTCCACGGACATGCTGCAAGCTGGAAGAAGGACAAAAAATCAAACAGCGCCACGAAGGGAGCGGAGGGCGCGCGACGAGCCTCCCCCTTCCGGCTGCTTTGTGGGGGAAAACAATAAAAAAAAAAGGAAAAAAAATATAAAAAGGGGTTTTTTTTGTTTGCTTGTTTTTGAAAGAAGCTAAACACTATAATTTTGCAAAACTTAAACAAGGGCATATTGCAGGCCCTACACACCACGGAGGCTTAGCTGCCAGATAAAGATCTGTGCGGGCAACTTCCTGCCAAGCCTACAACCTGTTTTAGCGCTCGTATTACTTGCCAGTGTCGTGTAGAAAGCAAATGCCTTATTTCAAAAGAAAGAAAAGAACATCTAGCGCAACTGTTCGACCTTCTTCTCTCCATCTCAACTTCGTTTTTCCCCACTGCATGTCTGTATTGAGACTTAGTATGAAACTCAGTCAGTGGGAACAGGAAATCACTTTTTGTTAACAGATGGGTGACATTCATCCAATATGAAAACTTAAAATATGTTAGATAATTTTATTTATTTATTTTTTCCCTCACAGTACAGCTCAGATCAAAGGGAAGGTGTGGGGGGGAATGGAAAAACCTATTCAATATAAACTCTTCCTCTTAAATATATAAACTTCTGAAAAAAACAACATGCCCCCCCACGCTAATCTATCAATATTTTGTCAATATTAGTATGTTGGAACTTCTTGAAAGTATAAGGCGAAAACTTGATTCAGACCTCTTATGAGCATTCATTTAAACGAGGAAAATCAGCTCCTGGAGAAAAAGGGAGCTAGACTCTATGTATGGGCGTAAGGACTTTAAAAACATGGCATAAAATAAAAGGTTAAATTTTATATATAAACCCTACATCTATGACAAGAAGTAAAGAGCAAAAAGTATGAATAGAATTTCATCATCAAATTTTCAGTAATTTAAATGTGTTCCTTCTCAGAGTAAGGAAAGTAAAGCATGGTAAAGGCAGATTGCTTCTATGTCAGAGGAACAGTAACAACAAAATGAAAAATTGTAGGTATTTCCAATTTGCATTCAATTGAGACACGAACATGTAACTGATGCAGATATAGCTATTTTAATTGTTTTAGTTGACATTTTCAGAGAGTTAAAAAGTGTGTGCCATTTTTAATATAAAAATATAAATATTATACTTTATGCATTTTTTGCCTCATTTACTTAGGACAAATTGCCACTTCTTCTGGTACTTTCCACAATGATCAAGTCAGAGTAAAAGACGTCATGACTTTGAAATATGAGATAGCTTCAGAAGTGCACTTTCTGTCAGAGGTTTTGCACCTTTGTAAAAACTGATGACAGAAACACCAGCATTTACTTTCTATTCAAGAGAGAAGGTAGTTTTCTTCACTCTGAGCTCTTCAGTTTCTTTTTCTTCTTTTTCAGTGGAGTTTCCAACTTTCGCTTCTCAGGAGTATTTTTTCCATCTGTTTTTGCTTTTTTATCATTCTTATCAGTCCAACAATCTTTCCTGACTAATAATGACTTCTCCTCTTCATTTGCTGAAAAAAAAAAAAATCTGTGTTTACTTCCAGTCTTTGTAGCCCAAGGTAGCACAGAGACTTATCTGTCCTTTAAAAAAGGAGGGCTATAAAACTATACTGTATTTAAAGTGGAGTTTGCGCTTTATGCCAGTTCTCCCTGTGAAATGAAAATTATCTGAATATCAAGTCTGTAAACAGGTTACTATTTACAGTTACTATACAGGAAAACAAAATGAAATATGACCTGGACTTAGAAAGGTTCAACAACTGTACTGGCCTCAAATCTAATTTTGTTTATGTGCCTACAAGAAACGTAGTTCTATCAAAGGTTTATTTTTTTCATACCTGTTTAAAATTTCCCAATGCATTCCTCAGTATGTTATTTAGGCAAAGAGGAACAAAACTTTCATGTAACAGAGGTGCAGCGAGGCCCATATCCTCCAACTAGGTGACAATACATCATGCAAATGGTTACTAGATGCAAATGAACAATTGCTTATGCCCAAATCATCGCTCAACCTCTGCACCTTTCTTCCTATGTATATTTCTATACTTGTGGCATTGCTATGTGCAGGCTTGAGACAGTATTAGATGGGTAAAGATATCTGTGTCGCTTGCCAGTCTGGCATCCCCAGTTCTTCAGGCTATGAAACTTTTTCCAATTTATGTGTGAAAAAGCCTCCCACTCAGTATCCTCCATTTCACAATCACATTCACAACTGAAAAATACACACAATTCTATTACCTGGAGATGTTGTTGCAGCCTTATCAGGATTTTCTTTCACTTCCAAAGCCTGGTCAAACCACACTGCCAGACATGTCAGCCTAGCTTTGGTATCGACTTTGCCTAGTAAAGATGGCAGATTTTTAATCTGAAAATAATACAGAAAAAAGCCCAACAACATTACTTTAAAATTACTTAAGTATTTAAATACTTTCTGAAATTTTACTGTCCAACTTCCACTTCTTTCTGGAGAACTGTAAAATGTGTAGATGCTGTGCAGGCTAGTGATCAGATTCTTACAGTCCTGGTATCCTCACACCATTCCTCACTGGTGATTCTATACAAAATTCCCAACTACTTTAAGAGGATATCTTGATAAGCATGATTGCTGGCTTTCAGGCACATGGAAATAGTTTAATATGAGGCACAAGCAGCTGAAGCATAACAATAAAATTTCTTAATGATTCAAAACTTAAGTACCAGAGTAATCACTATTTTTTTGGTGCAGCTAAAATAATTTAAGTGATTGTATCAGATTATTTTTTTCTCTCACAAAGACCAAACTTCTAATTTTAAATACTATCTTCATAGTGTGTTCCCAGCATAACCATCAGCCATTACACAATTTCTTAACTACTCTGTATCATGGGAATACTTGGACAAATAACCTATTCCATGTGTAAAGTGATAAAGTGTCACAAATATGTAGAGAGTATCAGCATATTCTTCCTCACAGAACTAGACAGAGCAGCCCATGCAGTTACAAAATCAGTTTTACAAGACTTTGCCTGCATGGCAAGAAAGAAAAAAAAAGTCACAAATTTAGTCAAAATAATTACAAAGTTGCAGAGAGGGTCAAAGACAATGCCTATTATGTACAAGGGGAAGAGAAATTTGAGACAAAAGGAAAAGAGCGATTTAGGGATATTTCACTCTAGCTTCATTACATATACTTAATTAAACTTACTATATATACTTAAATGTATAAAGACTGTCAAAGAGGTTGAAATTATACATGGGCAAATTCAGACTAGAAATGTAATGTACTATTAAAATGTTAACAGATATATATTTCATCTTATATGCTTATAACGGAGTATGAGAGACCCTTATGATTAGGCATTAAACAACTCCGATGTTGATTAAGAACAAAAACAAACAAATATAATACACATATATAACTGTTTAGACAAGTCATAAGCTCAGCCAGACAGGTCTAAAGGGAAGCATGACTTTACATAAAAGAGAATATGAGAGTTCCATAATTTCATCAGGTTTTATAGTTTGCTAATAAATTACAGAGATACAAAGATACACAAACATACATGAATCTACATTAACATATACACATCTGCTGAAAATAGCATAGAGGAAGATCAAGACATCCAGATTACAAATGAAGTTTCCTTGGTAATTTAAAATTTGTCTTTAAAATGGAACCACCTACAGTTTTAGTTGCCTGATGTTTTTCCATAAATGAACCAGACAGTTAAATAGACTGACCTTATTAATATCCAAATTCCACATTTTAATGTAACCGTCACTGGATGCAGTAACAATAACATGTTGTCCTTCCCTTTCAAAACTGTAGATATCTTTTATTCTGTGAAGAAAAGGTAATACTTTGTTACTTTATAGTGTGGTAGCTCACTTTAGAACAGTAGGCTGATAAAAAATAAAGATGACTAGGCAACGGTCTAAAAAATATTTTAAAGAGAAAAACCAGAAATGACAGGCTGCAACTGGGAAAGCTCATCTCTTGAATGTTGTCATTTAGAGTTAGGAATATCTTCCTTTCCGAGGCTGCTAGCATTCGATTCCTAAGAACACTACTACTTCTAAGCATACACTAACATTTCTCCACATCAGTGACATTTCATCTCATGCTTTTGTGTTTTAGTGAATTAGAATAAGCGTTTGGACGAATATTTGGTATTCAGCAACAGCAATAATGTGTAATTGCCCTTCTATTGTCTGCGCTGAGGACAACTAGTTTGTTTTATATAAGTATCCCACACAGATTCTGTAAAGTCTGGTTATTCTTCAGTCTTTTCAGAAAATACTGGTGCCCAATCTCAGGAATACACAGATCATAAGTGCAAAGTTTGCATATACAGTACTCCAGGGCTCGCAGCAGGGAAGGCTGCAGTATAGTCTGGCCTGCTGTGTAAATCAGACCTTAACTGTGCAGGGAGCAACTGTTGCAGGGATTAACTGAGACACAAGAGGACATCACCACATGTCTTAGAAACGAGTTTGCCAGTCCACTGGAGTACAGCTTTGCAGCAGAACAGTGGGAACCACAAGGCCACTGTCGTCTGCTGCCTCAGCAGCACTACAGACTCTCTCACGGTCCCATTAAATTTTGATGTTGTAACTTTTAAAAGCGTATCATTCAGGGAAAGAAGCAAGAGGAAGGGGATCCTCCTCTTGAAATAAAGATTAACGTCAATCCATGCCACTATATTTAGATCTTATTTTTGAGGCACGTATTCAGATATGATCTATACTGAGACTTAGATCTTTAAATCTGTAATTATATTTTATACTTAGATCTAAATATTATAGACTTTAGATCAAAGCTTAGACCTGCAATGTTTCTGATTCTATACCCTACTGGTTTTGCAACTTGCATGGAAGCCATAGCTCATAATAAAAGCAAATAAATCTGTCTCAAATTTGGAATTTTGCACTTAGCAATAAATGTACTTTCTAGGGCATTTTCTGTTTGCATTTTGTTCTAGAATCAAAACTAAGATATGCTGAACATTACAGTTCACTGGACTGTACTGAGTACTCAGCATTGCTATAAATATTTAAGTAGTGTAAGAGAACAAATACAAAATACCTGTTTTCATGAGCTTTAAATTCACATAGGCATTTTTGAGAGTCACAGTTGAAGAGTCTTACAATTTCATCATCTCCAGCAAGAGCAAGGATAGAATCCTTGAAACAGGAGAAAAAAAGCGAGTGTGATTAAAATAATGTGTTTCAAGCCAACTTACTTCCCAACTTTCTTTTTGTACTTACTGTAATAAATGTAAGTGAAGAAATTCTCTTCTCTGTTGTGATGGTGCCAGTGATAGAGGCTGTGTCAAGTTTGTAGACATCAACCTTATTTGTTATCACGGTCACATACTTCTCTCCACTGGGAGACCATTTAATTATGTGGGCATCTATACAACAGACAGAGTTATATATACATATACACAGATTTTGCATTTTATATTGCATATGAACCTAAAAGTAAGCACTTCTAAGTTAACCTGAGGAAAAAACCAGGAAAAAACCCTAGAGTAAATAGTAACAGGTAAAAATATGTTTTAAAATATTTATTTTTCATTATCAGAAGTTATAAAGAAAATAAATCATTTATTTAAATGTCTTGACATCAACCTTTAAGGAAGAAAATACAATTTTTACTTAGCATCACTCTCTTTTCCTTTTCGTATATAGTTATAATTAAGTACATATGCTTGCCTGCATGTGCAAAATGATTAGTCTGGAATTAACTGGCTTGTTGATTAATTCATTCTACCGACCTTTGCTCATCTTTTAAAAATTAAAAACAAACAAATACATCAACAGAAAAAAAAACCAAAACAAAACAAACAAACAACAACAAAAAAAACCCAAAAAACCAAAACAAAACCATTATCTAATTCCATCTGTTTAACAGATTTAGACTCACTTTGCTTCAGGTTTTTGATAAAGGCTGATCGTCCTTCTACAAGATTCCAAGTTCTGAAGGAAAGAATAGACAAATAGTTAAAAACAGCATCACGAAACCTACAGTGAACTGCTATCTGCTGACAAGAGACATCAAAAAAGGGCTTTTAAGTATCTCTTTGCATTTTACTACCTTCTTAATGCAAGAGCAATTGACGACTTGGTATTTTGTTTGTGTACTACATGGTCAACGTTTTTAAACACATTTTGCAATGCAAGCAAATCACAAAAGGAGCTAAATTACTGATACGCTTTTTATATGTATTTATATAAAGCACATATACAGCAACATTTCACACTCAAAATGAGTGCTCTCACAGGGAGCAAAAAAACTTCTGAGCTTTCAGAAGTTTAAGCAAACACTGTTCTAAGACTAAAATCTGTTATATGTCTACTGGAGATTATGACAAGCTAGAGTACACCAGAGGGCTAGGAACAGCAAGAGTGATTCTTAAAAAGTTGCTATTGCCTAGAACTTAAAAAGACAAACCAATAACCTTGTGGTGCGATATATTTCATCAGGGTTTTCCTGGACAGGCCTAACATGGGATTGATGTTCAAAAACGCAGTATTTACTAAGTACTTAACTGTGAAACTCAGCATTTCTAGATCCGTTTTGACTCACCTTAATGTTTTATCTGTCCCTACTGACAAAGCTAATTTCCCAGAAGGATGAATAGAAAGAGATGTCACGTGTCCTCTGATAAAAAACAATACAACATATTAGCCGTAGGTATTACATATAAGGAAATTAAACATGAAAGCATGTACAGATTCAAGACACCTACTTATGTGCCTTAATGGATTTCAGGCACTCCCATCTCTTTGTGTTCCAGATACAGATTAGCCCGTCTTCAGCCCCACTCAGCAGATGAGAGGTTCCATAGAACTCCAGACAAGTTACAGTGCCTAAAAGCAAAATCAGTGATATAAGCAATGCTGCACATATTGATCACTCACAAAGAATGCAGTAATTAACAGAGATGCTTCTAGCATCCAAGCATGCCAGCTACTCTTGGGAACTTCCTTGTTATATTCAATCTATGTGCTCAATTTGTCCCCCTGTAGCTGTATATATTTGCACTTCATCTGATCTATCCTTTGAATAATCAAGAATTGTGTCCTGCGTGACATACACCTTCCATCAGTGGTCACAGCCTTGCATCAAAGCCCCCTTTTGGCACACAGCTCAGTCTGGAGCAAATGCTGCTTCCCAGGAACTGAATGCATGTGTGTACTATGACTGCTTAGTTCATGCTGCTTCCCAGAAACACCAGGTTTACCAAACCTAAATTGATTGCATGTGTGTACTATGACTGCTTAGTTCGATTCCATGTACTCCTTGTTTGCCAGGAGTAAAAGGACAGTCAGGAATGAGCTACAAATCACCCACATGTGTTGAGTTGAGCTGTCATTAGCTGTTTCTCCGCAGCTGCAAGAAAAGAAGCTCCCTTACCGTTGTGCTGCAGCAGCGCCCCGTGCTCTATCTTCTTTTTCATATCATAAATATGTATTGTCTCATCCTTGCTCCCAGTGACCACGTATCTGCTATTCACTGCTATCGCTGACAGCGAGGCAGTGTGGGCATGATGTGTAAAATCAGGGACGACTGCCCAGCTCTGTAAATGAAACGCAAAATAAACATGGGTTTCTGAAGCGCTCCGCAGTGAGATTTTCTGTAGTCTGTTACTTTTTTTTTTTTTTTTTTTACCTAAGAATGAAAATAGTAGCTTGGTTGTTTTTTTTGCTGTTTCTTTTTTTTTTGGGGTAATAGATGTTT